CTACCTTCAGTCTGAGCGGTACAGCATCAGCCTGGGTCTACAACGGACTTGAGTGGGGCTCAAACTGCACTTTCCATTTAGTCTGTTAAGTCTATCCCTGGCTTAAAAAACAGAACAAACCCCACACACTCCTGAAAAAGAAGCTTCTGGTGCTGCAGGGCAGGGGCTGTTCCTGCCATTGGTTCCTCTGAAACTCACCTTCCCCAAGAGGTGCTTCTCCTTCCAGTGAACACAATATGAAGGCTTTGCATCTTTTCTCCCACAGGTAGGGGAACAGCTTGGGAAAAACCATTACAGGGAAATTCACTAGTAGGGAAAAGTCTTAAAGGACCTATAGGCTCGTCTTCTGCAGCGAAACACAGCCTCTGAAGCTGCTTTTCTATTGATTGATTGATTGATTTATAAAGTCTGACAAAGGAGACAGATCAGTGTCATTCAAGGGTGCTTCCTGCTTCCACGTAGGAGTTTATTGTGGAAATGGTGCTGCTTATGTACATATATAAGATTCTTTTGCAGAGTCTGCATATGCTGTCACCATCAAAACGACAGCCCCTGCTTTTTGCAAGTTAATCTGTATTTCCCTGTACCATGTGAAATCTAAGGAATCTGTAGACACTCTTGGTATGGAAGCTCCAGCTCATTAACATTTTTTTGGGGGGATGGGTGGGTGCGGTGATGTTGCAACAGGTCGTATGTCCATCTGCTCCTCAGGCCAGCACAATCTAGTCACATAGTTCCCATTGACCCAGATTATTTCTGCTGAAGACCCATTCAAATTTCAAGAAGCTGGTTAGGAGCAGCGGCCATCTCCAAATCACCACCTTGGAGACTAATCACTAATTTGGGGGGTCTTTTGGCCAGGTGTGTGTGTGTTGATAAAGGTCAATCAATATTCTGTTATATGGTCACATACAGAGGTTTTGCACAAGATACCAGTATTAAAAAGAAATGGAAGTGCCTGCCCTCCATGAGCACAAACTTCTCTTTTGCCCATTGTGAAGCGTAAGAATAGTGTGAACATTCACTCTTTTGCACGTCTGCATTTTTTAAAAAAAGTGTGCATACAGGTTGAAACATACCCAAAGCAGTAGACAGTGGGGGGTGGGGTTGAGGGGAGGTATAACCCCACCCCCTCTGCATATATTTCCTGAAGCTCCACCCACCAATTTGATTGGCAAGCCATGGAATAGCAGTGAATGAATGAAAATATCCATGACCGGAAAATGGGAAGGTGTGGAAATGAGCCTGCCAAATGAAGATACAGTATGTAAACACTGGATGTGAAGGACCCATCTGCACTGGAACCACCCGAAATCTATGAAATAGGTTAAAGGCATCTTGTTTTCATAGCTGAAGCTAGTCAAATTTTGATGTGGATGTTAGAGAGTCATACTTTATTATTATTTTTGCCTCATGCTTGTACCCTTTCCTGGGGTTCATCTTCACTGTTTCATTTGAAGTATCTCTTTTTGCACGTTTCTCAGGCTCCCTATCTTTTATTTGCCCTTGGACGGCCATCTGCCCTACCCTTGAAACTTAGGCCAAGAGCTCATGGGAACAGCAAACTTTTTACAAAAGGCAAAGCCCCATAAACACTTAAGGTGCTATTTACTGATATTAATAAAAGGTAAAGGGACCCCTGACCGTTAGGTCCAGTCGTGGATGACTCTGGGGTTGCGGCGCTCATCTCGCTTTATTGGCCGAGGGAGCTGGCGTACAGCTTCCAGGTCATGTGGCTAGCATGACTAAGCCGCTTCTGGTGAACCAGAGCAGCACACGGAAACGCCGTTTACCTTCCTGCCGGAGCAGTACCTATTTATCTACTTGCACTTTGATGTGCTTTTGAACTGCTAGGTTGGCAGGAGCAGGGACCGAGCAACGGGCGCTCACCCCGTCGCAGGGATTCGAACGGCCGACCTTCTGATCGGCAAGTCCAAGGCTCTGTGGTTTAACCCACAGAGCCACCTGGTCCCTCACTAATATTAATATTAATACTAACAAAATAATTAATAAACAGAATAGAATCTGACTTGTGGAGTTGGGAGGGACCCTGAGGGTCATCTAGTCCAACCCCCCTGCAGTGCAGGAATCTCAGATAAAGCATCCATGACAGATGGCCATCCAGCCTCTGCTTAAACTCCTCCAATGAAGGAGAATCCACAACCTCCCAAGGAAGCCCATTCCACTGTGGAACAGCTCCTGCTGTCAGAAAGTTCTGATGTTTAATTGGAATCTCCTTTCTTGTAACTTGAATCCATTGGTTCAGATCTTCCCTTCTGGAGCAGGAGAAAAGAAGCTTGCTCCATCTTCCATGTGGCAGCCCTTTAGCTATTTGAAGATGGCTATCATATCATGTATCATTTGAAGATGGCTCCTCTTTTCCAGGCTAAACATCCCCAACTCCCTCAACCATTCCTCATAAGGCTTGGTTTCCAGACCCTTGATCACCTTGGTTGCCCTCCTCTGCACACATGCCAGCTTGTCAGTATCCTTCTTAAATTGTGTCCAGAACTGGACACAGTACTCCAGGTGTGGTCTAACTAAAGCAGAAAAGGGTAGTACTATTACTTCCCTTAATCTGGACATTATACTTGATGCAGCCTAGAAGAGGTTTTTTTTTGCTGCTGCATCACACTATATAACATAATACAGAGCTTTGGGGGTCATTTTGGTGGGTATGAATTCAAATAGTAGCAAATGCAACCACAACACCCACAGGATGACAATAAACGTCTTCAGTTCATCGTTGTGCTGCTTGGTCTCTGCCTCTGTTCTGGTGCCATTTCAGCTCCATCTGCTGTACAGCTTGAGTATATTACCTTTGTCTTAAAACACTTTTCAAAGTAATGGAAAGAGAGAATAGCTTTCAGTGCCATTTCTGAACCTGGTTCAGAAGTCCTAAAGCAGAAGGGGGTTTTTGGGGGGGGGAGCAGTGTTCACAGCTCTCTTGAAGTTAATGGCAGTTCCCTGATCCAGATTGTTTTACAGCTCTATAAATCAGGCTGAAAATGCAACCAGAAGCACCGCTGGCTTGTTGCTTCTTTTAGCACATCCGTTTCTTGTAAAATTCAGATTAGAGGAACCAGCCCTGGCAGAATTGCTTCCCTCTGAACCCAAGGGGGCCATAAATCAAAGAAAAGGAAGTCACCAGGCAACTGAGACCCCTGGCTTAATTTCTTTAATTATCTTTAATGAACTCAAGAAAATGTGTGATGCCTTTGGCCTTGGCCTGTCTCACCAAGAACTTGTTAAAGGGTTCGAATGGAAGGGGATTTCTGGAGTATATCTTTAATAACTATATTTAGGATCAGGATCATAGCCCTGTTACAAGTCCAGCCCTTCTCCCTACTAATTAATGTAAGTCCCAATTAAATCCCAACAGTTTAGTAGGTGGTGGCTCATAGGTAAGGTTGGTCTCTCTTCCCATCTGCTGCCCTTAGAGTGCCACAAATCTGCTTCCTTAGCTGGCTCCCTCACATTGTATCTGTGATTAACTGCAGTTGGACTTAGATCCTATAACCTGATCATGGAAGTTGTTCTAGTCATAGCAAAAAGATGGTTAAAATAAAGGGAATATCTGCTAGGTTTGGGGAAGTGACAGAAATAAGTTATTCTTTTCTCATAATGGTAGGATTCAGGGTCACACACTGAAATGTGATTGGCAGTAGATTCAGGGCAGACAGGGCATAATTGGTTTATGGCAGGCATGTCCAAAGTCCATTTTGGGGGCCTAATCTGGCCTGCCGGTCGGTAAAATCCGGCCTCTGTGGCACTTTATTTCCTGGGGTAAAATCCTAAAAAAACCTTAACAACTTCAATCCTAAAAGAAGCTCAACAACTCTAACCCTAAAAAAAGATCAGCAACTTCAATCCTAAAAAAAGGTCAACAATGGTTGGCCCCCACAGCCCTTCACTTCATCAAATCTGGCCCTCTTTGAAAAAAGTTTGGACACCACTGGTATGAGAATTGCTGTGACAAGGTGTGGTGATGGTGACCACTAGCTTGGATTGCTTTAAAAGGGGAATAGACACATTCATGGAATATCAATTGCTATTTAAGCCATGAGAGCTAAATGGAACCTCCATGTTCAGAGACAGTAGATCTCTAAATACCAGTTGCTTGTGCGCAAACAGTGGGGTGGGAAGGGAGTTTTTGTTTGCCAGGAGCCCCTGATTGGCACTGCCAGAAACAGAATGCTATCTTAGATACACCTTTAATCTAATCCGCCATGGTTCTTTATTCCTGGTGTTCCTGCATGGAATCTATGTCTTCCCCATTAAGGTTCCCTCCTGCATTCTGTTTACAATCTTCAAGGGAGAAAGGAGATTCCGACTAAACATCAGGAATAACTTTCTGACATAACAGCTGTCTGACGGCGGAATGGACTTCCTTGGAGGTTTTTAAGCAGAGGTTGGATGGTCACCTGTCAGGCACGCTTTAATTGTGATTCCTGCATCTCAAGGGGTTGGACTAGATGACCCTCAGGGTCCCTTCCAACTCTACAATTCTATGAGTCTGTGCAGCCAAAAAGTGTTGACATTAATAGATGAGAGTTGTGGTAACCACAAAGTCTGTTAAAGTACAAAAGCCTTTAGAAAATAAACCGAGGAGTAGAATCCTCTCCAAAAACAATTTCATTCCATTTCATTTCACTTTTAATTTCTATACACAAGGTTGTTTACAAGCTGAACAAACAACAAAATAGACAGCGAAGATCACATACCTAATAACAAAAAACATTTTCTGGGAGTTAAGAGTCCATCAATACCTGGAGAGCCACACATGTTCCCCATCCCTGACTTACTAAAGGTAAAGGGACCCCTGACCATTAGGTCCAGTCGTGGCCGACTCTGGGGTTGCGGCGCTCATCTCGCTTTTTTGGCCGAGGGAGCCGGCATACAGCTTCCAGGTCATGTGGCCAGCATGACTAAGCCACTTCTGGAGAACCAGAGCAGCGCATGGAAACACTGTTTACCTTCCCGCCAGAGTGGTACCTATTTATCTACTTGCACTTTTGACGTGCTTTCGAACTGCTAGATTGGCAGGAGCAGGGACCAAGCAACAGGAGGGGAGCTGTTGAAAATTTCAAATATCTGGACATTTTGTCCATTTTCTGAAATACCCTCCAGATGCTAATTCCGTCATTGGAATCCCAGACCTGTCCGGGAAAATCCGGACGTATGGCAACCCTAGCATACCCCTTAGGCAGGCTGAAGCAGCTGCCTCGGGCGGCAGAGGTGCAAGAGGCAGTGACCCACCCGCTCCTCTGCTTCCACCACAGCCAGAAGGCCCCTGTCTCATTGAGTTCAATGAGAGAGAGGCAATCCTGTGTGCAGCATTGCTGTTCGTCTTCCCTGAAGACAAGTGTGGCAAGGCCTTGCAGTGTGCCCTCTCTAAGCCTGCAGGATGCCCCCAGAACAGATGCCTTGCAGTGGGCTTTCCTACATGGCAAGGAGAGCTGCTGCATTGTTCATGAGACCCAGATTCGACTGTCCATTGTGCACAAGAAATTAGCCCTGTGGCTTTTTGAATCCAGGCCATCCTGCTTGTCTGCTCTTGAGTTTCATTCATGTCGGGAAGCCAGTGAAAAAAAGTGTGCTACCTTCCATAGTAGCTAGTCAGCACGTGTCAGGATTAGGCTTCAGATGTGTACAAAGGTGTAATATTTGTGCTCTTCATCACCCTCAGGGCAATTTACAGTATGGTTATCCACTCCTTCCTAAGTGATCTTAAGAGAGAGAGAGAGAGAGAACACCATACTAACCCCAAACCAACAAGCTTCCTCCAAAAACAAAGGATTCCCTTTTACCTCCGCCTCCCGCCACCAACTACCCTCTGAACACATGACTTGAAGAGGGAGTGCATAATTTATAGATGAAGCCTTCATTATGTAGCAATCTTTCCAACAAATGTAGCAGTATTACATATTTTCATACATTAATCCCAGACCCATCAACATAATCCATAAATAGCTTCCATATGTTTTTGAATAAATCTCCCCTGTTCTGTGTTTTATAAATCACACTCCCAGGAGGTGTAATTTGAGTAAAGCTAGTTATCCATTCTGCCTCTGCCGAGGGAGCCCAGTCTTTCCAGAGTCTAGGAATAATTCCCTTTTCCACCATTAATCTGATCCACATCTTGGTTGCCTTCCTTGAAGAGAAGGTTCTTCTTATCAGAAGGTGTTCCCTGTAAGAGATGGGCTTGGAATGGTCATGAAGACAGCATTTAGAGTGGTCATCTTTTTCTTGACACCTTCCCATGCTATGCACATTTGAGCACCAACATCAGAATCATAAACATCACCACCCTGAGTAGTTGCAAATTAACCAGCACACACACACACACACACCCCTGCCTCCGCCAAGAGAAAAGGGCAGCTTCCAGGCTCCGTGCATTCATTCCCCATAGCATCCAATGTAGGCTGTGTAAAATATTAAAACATGCATTTTTCAATTCATGCCTTTCTTTACTGCATTATAAAGAGGAAACCAGATCTTTCTCACTGGCATTTCGTGCAATTTCCCCCAGTTCTCAATTCCCCTGTGGCTGTTAAGTGTACTAAGGCACCACTATTAACATTTATAAGAAATGTATTTAAGTCATGAGTGAAGGTTGAATTTGACCGCCCCCTCCCCCCGTAATATGAGGAGAAAACAGTAAAATCATAAAGCATATTGGAATATTGAAAACGCAGGCACAAAATACATGCAATGCAAGAGATCCATGATTGAATCTTCCAATTTTTCTGTTTTCAGTTAATAATAGGATTCAGAAATTGAGCAGAGCAGCAGTGGTGGGAGGAGATGGGACTATCGCTTTCCCGCATGCTGGTTACTTGCTGTAGCCCAGGCTTCCTCAACCTCGGCCCTCCAGATGTTTTTGGCCTACAACTCTCATGATCCATAGCTAGCAGGACCAGTGGTCAGGGAAGATGGGAATTGTAGTCTCAAAACATCTGGAGGGCCAAGGTTGAGGAAGCCTGCTGTAGCTTCTAAAGCTGCTGTTTGACCCAGTAGGGGTCAACTGGAAATTAAGAGCATTGGAGTGGGGCAATTTAGATCAGGGAAATAGCATGAGAGAAAGGGTTACACTCATCCTCACCCAGTATCCCTAGCTTGACCTCATTTGGGGAGGGGTGTGGCTCAAGGCTCCTTTTCATTAAACTTGGAAACATTGGAAGATCCCACCATGCACCTCCTTCATTTTGCACAGTTTGGTCCACTTGCCTGTTGCCTCCCCTTCCCAAAAAGAAAGAAAGATGCTTCTCATATGAGCTATCAGGATGAAAAGCAGCCCAGAGCTCAGGTTGCAACTGGGTGTGGCTTATCAGGCTCTCTTAAGCCTCTGCTCTCCCCCTGCCCCTCAGTCTTTCTTTGTGCTGCCACAGCGCCCTGCAACTGAATAACTCCAAAAGGAGCTTTTCTAGCCTGTATCTTTGCTAACTCAAAGATTGTGTTATCCTTTCATAAGGAAACATTGTACTTTACCTTTTAAGTTGTTTGGAACCTTTTTCATTTTTGTTTTACTGCCAACAGATGTTGACTTGTTTGCTCTAACTTATGGAGACTCTGTGAGTAAAACACTCACTTGTTTGCAAAGCTAAGTGTCTGTGATTTATTCTAGCCTAAGCATGGGGAACATTTGTTTAAAGGTGGGCATAGGCGCCGACCCCATGGGGCCTGAGGGGGCCCGAGCCCCCTCAAAAATTTTATTGGGGGGGCTCCGCCCCCCAATAATTTAAAAAATTATCGCGCGCCTTGGCTCCCTCGTCGCGCGCCTTGGCTCCCTCGTCGCGCGCCTTGGCTCCCGCGGCCGGCGAGGGGAGCCCGGGCCGCGCGCGGCTGCTGCTGCCGCCTCTCCTGGGGGCGCCGCCTCCCCGGGCGGGAACACTGCGGTTGCGCGAGGGAGGAGGGCGGCCCCCGGGGGCTGGGAGAGCCGGGCTGCCGTGGCCGAGAGGGCTGCTCTGCCGGGCGCCGCTGACATAATTTAAGCAAATTATCGCGCGCCTTGGCTCCCGCGGCCGGCGAGGGGAGCCCGGGCCGCGCGCGGCTGCTGCTGCTGCCGCCGCCGTTTGTGGTCATGGCGGAGCTGCTGCCTAGGGAGGAGGGGAGAGGGGGCTGGCGGGGGGGGCAGGCGGTGAAGGGGGCTTGGCTGCGCTCTCTCTCTCTCTCGCGCTCTCTCTAGGTCTCTCTCTCTCTCTCTCGGGCTCTCTCTCTCTCTCTCGCTCTCTCTCTCGCTCTCGCTCTCTCGGGCTCTCTCTCTCGGGCTCTCTCTCTCTCTCTCGCTCTCTCTCTCTCGGGCGCTCTCTCTCTCGGGCTCTCTCTCTCTCGGGCTCTCTCTCTCTCTCTCTCTCTCTCTCGGGCTCTCTCTCTCTCTCGGGCTCTCTCTCTCTCTCTCTCTCTCTCTCTCTCTCTCCGGCTCTCTCTCTCTCGGGCTCTTCCCGCCCAGGGCTTGTGGGCATCTGCTCTGAGATGAAGATGGAGGTGACTTCCCTTAAAGGTCATGGAATCATAGAGGTGGAAGGGACCCAAAGGTCATCCAGTCCAACCCCCAGCAATTCAGGACTCACAGCTAAAGCATCCCTGGCAGATGCCCCCCCCCCGACCTCTCCCTAAAAGCCCCTTCCCCTGTCTGACTGCTCTCACCACCAGAAAGGCCTTCCTAATGTTTTGTGGGAATCTCATTAAGCCTACAGAGCTATATATGCAAATGGATCTACTTATTCTTTCCCTTGAAGATACATTGATTTGTTTGTTACTGTGGTTTCGATCAATACTTTCCAAAGATCTTTACATTTGTCCATGCATGATCTTTGTCTGAAAGCTCATGGGTTGCAGGAGTTGTCATAGGAGGTTATATTTTTGTCCTTCCAACTGTTATGGAAATTACAGGGGGGGGACATCTTTAAAGTTGTTAAATGTTGCAAATATTATGCCTGAATGTACCCTTTCAACTTGACAGCTCAGGGAAGTTACCTAGATAAAATCCTGTAACACAATGTTAATCATTTTGCAGATGTTAAGGGGGGGGGCAGAGCCTGCAGCCACCATCCCTTTCCGGTGGGGAGGGGGCAGAGGAAAGACAGGAAGCTTTTCCCTGCAGAGTTAGACCCCTTGGCTGCGTGGCCCTCGGGTCCCTTCAAACTCCTGGGCGTTTTGCTGGTGGGGGGCTGCGTGGGGGCCTGGGCGATGTCAGAAGAGGAAGCTTGCAGGCCTGGTTGTCTGTTGGGGGCAGCAGGAAGAGGCGGAGGGCAGGATATGCAGCCCCTGCCTGGCTTTCCTGTGGGACCAAGGAAGCGGCTGGGGGGGGGGAACTTGGCCGCTGGCCTTTGTTGCGGAGGCGGCAGTGTGGGAACGCCAGTCCCAAGGGCAGCCTCTGGGGTCTGGGTGCTGCTGCCTGTCTCCTGCCATGGACTTGGCGGGGGGGGCTGTGCTATTGGGCTGGCAGAGACTTAACGGGGGCTGCCTCTCCCAGCCAAAGCTGACCCACAAAATTGCAACCCAGTGTGTGTGTTTGTGTGTGGGGGGGAACCAGCCTGCACAGGGTAAGCCCCGATGGGGCTCCTGGGCTCCTTCTGATGCATGAAAATTGGAGGTTGTCCTTTACAGCTCAGCTCCCCAAGGGGCTCAAAGCCTCCCAAGTCCATTATCAGTCGGAGACGAATGAGTGGAAGCTGGAAGAAAGGGGGAATCTTTATTTTTCTGTTGAAACAGAGCCCTCCTTCCCACTGACATTTGCAAGGAGGGGAGGACCCCAAACAAAGGTGTGCAGCAGCTTTGAAAGACTTTTCCGGCTCAACATCAGGAAGAGCTTTCTGACAATAAGAGCTGTTCAGACGGTCTCTGCTCCCTGGAAGAGGCTAGGTGGCCATCTGTCAGGGATGCTTGAGCTAAGATTCCTGCATTGCAGGGGGCTGGACTAGATGACCTTGGGGTCCCTTCTGTCTCTATGATTCTATGATTAGCATAATACAAGCATCTCAGGAAGAGGCATCTACCAACAGAAATCCAAGAGTGTGGCTTCTCTCCTGTCTGTCAAGGGACCTGCAGGTGCTGATTGCCTTACTTGGCCAGTTCCTTAGGACTGGTACATACAGTCATACCTCGGGTTACAGATGCTTCAGCTTAAGCATTTTCAGGTTATGGATGCACTGAAACCCAGAAGTACCGGAATGGGTTACTTCCAGGTTTCGGCACTTGTGCATGAGCAGAAGCGCTAAATCACAACCTGTGTGTGCGCAGACGCAGCAATGTGAGTTGCGAACACTGCGGGTTGCGAACGTGCCTCCCACATGGATCACGTTCGCAACCCGAGCGTCCACTGTACCTTGGTTCTCGAACAGAATGCGTTCCGGGAGTCCATTGGACTCCTGGAACCATTTGAAAACCAGAGTGCGGCTTCTGCCAGAGGAGCCCCCTGCAGCCAATCGGAAGCCGCACCGGATGTTCGCCCTCCAAAAATCATTTGAAAACCAGAACACTCACTTCCGGGTTTCGATTGTTCAGAAGCCGATTTGTTTGGGAGCCAAGGTGCTCGGCTTCTCAGGTACAACCGAACCTGAGTCCTTGGGGGCGCCGCCTCCCCGGGCGGGAACGCTGCGGGTGCACGAGGGAGGAGGGCGGCCCCCGGGGGCTGGGAGAGCCAGGCTGCCGTGGCCGAGAGGGCTGCTCTGCCGGGCGCCGCTGACATTGGAACTTAGAAAACTTCCCGGGGCAGGACCCCGGTATGGGCCCCCCCAATATTTTTTATAAGTCGGCGCCCCTGAAGGTGGGTGAGGGCAGATGCATATCTAACTAGTTTTAATGTGATTGAAGCAATCGCAATTGTGCTACCTCTGCTACTGGACAGTTGGAATCTTTCTCCCAACAGTAAGTTTCTTGCTGCTTGCACCAGTGAAAGACACTGCTAAATCATTTCCCCTCCCTTCTATCTTGTAGCACATGCAGGGCATTCCCCATAGCAAGAGGTTTTGAGAACAAGTGACAATTCTGTTTGATATTGCAGATTGCACATTAAGTACTTTGTTAAATACACATTAAGATCTTGATCCCAGTCTACATCTGTATTAGAACAATTTTTAACCATTTTTATATTTGGAAATATTTTTAAATGTGTACATATACAGAACACTTTTTGATTGTCCTTACACTTTTCCTGTTTTATGGTAACTGTTCTGTTTGTTTTATAATTGTATATGTTATTGTTGTGACCTGTCCTGGGGCTTTATGGTAAATCTAATAAATACTACAGATGCATATTGCTGCTTCTTTTCCTGAAGTAACTTTGTTTTAATGGCTGTTCCATTTTTACCCATCTTGCTTTAGCTAACATAACAATATCATCTACCGATGCTGTTTTTGTTTGTTTTTGCTTCGTACTCTGCATATGTTGCAAAGGCAATGGGAAGGTGTCAAAGAGGTAGATGAACACACGCCATTTAGAACTGTGCACAATCCATACATGGTGACCTCATGTTAATTTTCTTGGATTAGGAGGCATTTCAACTTAAGAAGTCTGTCTGACTAAAATAGCTTTCACCTATGCTAATTCCAGGGGCTTTGAAGTGGGTTTCACACATGACCTAATGCACACACGGATCTAACTTAAGACAGAAGGGTCTGACAACCTGTTTTAACATACCAGTTCCAATTAAAGTCTAACATGTATTAAACCCAGGCATTTAGCCTCTCCCCGCAACAAAATTATAACAATATATACTGTACATCTGAAGCCACAGCTGCATTTTCTGGCTTATTAAATGCACATTGGAAATGCATGATTTCTTCTGATATGCCAAGTGGAGCAGTCAATGATGCACACAGAATTCTCCCAGAGTCAATGAATATTTGTGTTTCTGTATGTGTGTGCATTCAATGGAGTGGGGTTGTGTCTCCCCATCTGCCTGCTGCTGATCACCAGATCATCCATCTGCAGAAGAAGTCTACCTTTTTGTAGGCTATTTATGCTGAGTGTCCTCGTCTCTTTTCAAGGCAAATACTTATATTACTGCAGCACAAGCTCCAAAGATGTTCTAGCTTTACTTGGGACTGTTTTTACATTACTTCATCTAGTTCTGAATTAGTATAATCATCTACTTTGAGGGATGACAAACCCAAATCTGTTCACTCTCTCTTCCTCCTCCCCTTCCTGCTGTTCTCGCTTGTGTTGCCAGCAATAGACAACACCCTCGTTTTCCCTTTCAGTGAATTCACACTTGATTTTGCATTTGAAAAGCCACTTCACCAGAAGTTTTATCATTTATGTACAATACTCAGGAGTTGCTTTTGAGAGATATGCAGACATGTATACTCCGCACCCGCCACTCTGTCTGCCTTCAGTGTATTGACAGGAAAACCCCCCACTGATGTGCATTCCAAGGAAAGATTATCTGTCCCTCCAGGCACATTTTGTACTTCATGAAATAATGGAGCTGGATGCGTACCACAATATGCATCTGAACAAAACTAGGAGGAGAAATTCACTAAGCACAGATGGAAGAAAGAGAAGCAGAATGCATGACACAGAATACATCTGAGGAGGAGGTGTGGGGAACTTCTCTGACCCTAATATTCCATTAAGATCATGATTGACAAGAAGGCAATTACATACGGTGCTGAATGTATTAAAGGAGTCTTGGCTGTGTTGGAGAAACTGTCTCCTCTCCTGGTATCTCCTATTACAAACTGGTGGTCGCTTTCTAAGATCTTTTCCTAGTTCTGCAGCCTGAGAGCCTTTAACCGCCACTGTCAAGGGAATAAACCTAGGGCCTTTCGCATGGAAAGTATGTGCTTAGCCACTGGTCCTCTCTGGAAGAAATTTGCCAACAAAGCTTTGAATGAAGTTTTCAGCCACGTTGAAAAGGTGGGCCAGCCTCAAAAGTGCTTATTAGTTGACAATGTTGCATGCAAAGAAAACAAAAGTTTCAAGATTCACATTCATTGCCAATAAGCGAGGCGGATTGCACTCAGCTTCGATGAAATCACTGAAAGAAGATTGCAGACTAAGCTTTTGTAAAGTGAAATAATTTGCAGATTTGTACGTACAACCAATGTGTTGCCTTGCCATATCCCAGTTTCTCAAATCTGGGTGACATAATTTGCATAGTCCTGCAAATTGTTTCCTAATTATGCTAAAAGGCACACTCATTCTTAAACTGTCTTTGGCTTGATTTGCGTCTGGTCCTAAGCTCAAAAGTTGCAGGTAGACCATTTATTCAAGTCAGAAGTTGTGCATGTTTTCAAACAACAGCAAAGTTTGCCAGTGAGTGATCTCAGGGGCTGCTGCCTCCTGCTGACTCTTATTCTGTGGCAGCAATGGCTTTGCACCTGCTCAACTGATGTACAAGTAGAAGTTCCAGGTTGTGGGGAGGCTCCTTATTCGCCAGAAATAAAAAGAAGAACCATCAGTAACAAATGATACATGTGAAATGCTGCTAAACCAGAGAGGGTCCTCACTCAAGAGAATGTACATCAAACAGTGAGATTTAGCAAAACCGAATCAAATCATATGCTATATTAATTTGAGAAAGGCAAAGCAAGCATAATTGGGTTTGAGGAAGAATAGGTCAAAACAGCTCTTAAACTTAGTTGAATAACACTCTAGATCTAGTAAGCCTTTCCTCCTTTTATAATCAGCACTGGGTCTTTTAAATTTTATTTTAGATGTGAATGCCTGCCTGTCAGTAATTCCTAACGTCGTTAATATGAATGTAGGGAATGTAATTATGCAGATATTTATTGCCATTAGTATTTGATGCAGGTCATAACAGTTTAAATACAATACACTTTTAAGGATGAATCTAAGTGGGAATATTGTAAACAGCTAAGAAGTGGGCTGCAGAAGTCTTTAACTTCTGCCACTTTTCTACTTCAAGCAGCCCCCTCCCAGTATTGCAGCAAGGAAATAGGTCAGGGGGCTTTTCTTACAGTTTTTACATGCAAAGTGCAGTTGAACCTCCAAAGGTGAAGAAAACAAAGCAAAACAAAGACAGCTACATGCTCTCTGGGTTAGAGAATCCTCAGCTGGCTTGCATAGGCCATAGAGTAACCTTCATTCTGCCCTTTGTTTTCCTAAGCATGGAAATTCAGTCATATATATATATATACTGTTTATAGTTTGGTGCCTTCTCTTTTTCTTACCCATAATACCTTTAGGGGGCATTTCAAAAACTCTCTGATACTACTGTTGAGCAACAACAAATTATATTTTATGTAAACATTTATGCAGCCAATTTTGAAACATAAAAGGTTTGTTCTGTCTGGTACACTGTACTTCAGGGTAAAATAAACTCAGAGTCTGTCCAGCTTCTGGGTTCACTCTTGTCGCCCCCCCCCCCAATCCCTGGGTGGAAATGACACCCAGGATTTCAGCAGTACCTGTGAATAGGCAGCAGAGTTACTTGCTCATCCCAAAGACAGTAAGTCCTGCCTTTTTTAAACTGGGGTGTTATTTTGTCTGTAAGACATGATACTTTTGAGTTCTTAAATATTTTAAAAGCAGAACATGTCTGCATGCAAGTAAATAGAGCACATGGCTTCTGGATACAACTGAGTACTGGATCTGGGCTGGGAAGAGATTTGCAGGGGCAGTTTTGGTAGATGGGTTTTTGCTGCAGTCTTGCTTTATATGGAGGACATTTGGCTAGAATCCACCTCTCTAACCTGCAATGTGGACCGGGGCAAGGCTGGATTAACCGTTAAGCAAAATAAGCATGTGCTTAGGGCATAAAGGGAAGCGGGAGCACCACAGAAATTTTCCGTTGCTGGATTTTTAACATTAATGGTCACAAATTGCTCAGCGGTCATTTTCTCAGTTGAAGTATATTAAAAATCCCAACAGAACAACTATGCAACAAGGCCGGCTGGATGCCTTATAGAAGTATAGAAGCAGATAAGATTAGTTTTGGGGATCTGATCAAAGACTTTGATTAGAAAAAGGAGGGGGGAAATTCAAATATAAAGTGGAAGTATGCAAAAATGAACATTACTTTCCATCTTTACGTAGGTTTTGCTTCAGTTTGAAAAATAAATTTTTATTTTACAGTTTATTATTGTTTATGTTTCGAATTAGATGTATGTGGGAGCACCAAAATCTTTTAAGTTCTTAGGGCCTCTAAAGGTATTAATCCAGCTCTGACTGTGGGGCTACTTTTCAGGTTTGTTATAACCACATTATTTCAGCCGCAGCCACCACCAACAGTAACTGTGTCAGCCATAGCTGTGATTTCTCACTGGGGAGGTAAAAGCAAGACTCATTCTCACCAACAGATAAGGCAGAATGCTGCATGTGCATTTTGCTTCTTCATAGATACTGGTTTTAAAAAAGAAAAGCAAGAAAGATGGCAATCCAGGTCAGGGAATGGCCCAAATGTATGTCTGGTTGCATGTCTGGGAAAACCCAACTTACGATACGGCTACTCAACGGATACAAAACTATGCATTGAAATACTTCATATTCTTTATAATTCTCTGCTCAGAGTGGCTGCAATCCCTCCCACCCACCTGTGTGCTCTCCTTGTCGGGGACACAATGCAGTTCCTTGCCAAGGGTGCAAGGGAGCCTGCGCACTCCTCTGAGAATGAAATGGCCCAGGTCCTTGCTTCCCTCCCTTCTTGCCCAGCAGTTGCCTCCGTGTCTGTGCTCCATAAGTAGCAAACGGACTGTAAGCCTTAATACCAGGTGGCTTTCCTTTCCCTCTGTCAAATATCTTCAGAATGCACCGCTAATTTGATTTGGCTAAAATAAATCCATACACAATTAGTCACACAGAGAATCAAAAGTATTAAAAAGTTGTTTCATGTACTTCGGGGAAATGTTAGAGTGTGTGTGTGTGTGTTTTGGCAAGGGATAAAATTTAATATCAGATGCTGTTTGCCAGTTCAGAGTGTGGTTCAAGCAAAGATTATCCAAAAATGCATTGGCACTTAAAAGACTTTCCATTGGCGGTGAAAAATCCACCCATGCCAAAAGTAAATATTGAGTTGAAATGTCAAGATCTCCTGGCAGCCAGCCTTGCATTTTTAAAATGTATTTCTGTCTTTCATGTCATTCATTCCTTCTAAACTCCAAAAGGCTCCTGGGGAGTGTCTTGAATTGCATCCCGAGTTGCTGAAAAATCATTAAATTTCAGTGTAAAATGTTAACTAAGAACAAGGAGGAAAGCCCACAAGTTCAGCAATAAAGACTTCTTGTGAGGACCGGGGAGGTTTGGGGATCACGTATGAAATGAAGGACTGCCATAGTTGCCATAAGTTGCAATAATTG